GTAATGAAGCCATAAAACTCCTAGAAAAAAACATAGGGAAAAATCTCTTGGACGTAAACATGAGCAACTTCTTCATGAATATATCTCCCCGGACAAGGGAAACAAAAGCAAAAATGAACAAGTGGGACTATATCAAGCTGAAAAGCTTCTGTACAGCAAAGGACACCATCAATAGAACAAAAAAGCACCCTACAGTACGTGAGAATATATTCATAAATGACAGATCCGATAAAGGGTTGACATCCAAAGTATATAAAGAGCTCATCCACCTCAACAAACAAAAAGCAAATAATCCAATTAAAAAATGGGCAGAGCTGAACAGACAGTACTCCAAAGAAGAAATTCAGATGGCCAACAGACACATGAATAGAAGCTCCACATCGCTAGTCATCAGAGAAACGCAAATTAAAACCACAGTGAGATATCACCTCACACCAGTAAGGATCACCACCATCCAAAAGACAAACAACAACAAATGTTGGTGAGGTTGTGGAGAAAGGGGAACCCTCCTACACTGCTGGTGGGAATGTAAATTAGTTCAACAATTGTGGACAGCAGTATGGAGGTTCCTCAAAATGCTCAAAATAGAAATACCATTTGACCCAGGAATTCCACTTCTAGGAATTTACCCTAAGAATGCAGCAGCCCAGTTTGAAAAAAACAGATGCACCCCTATGTTTATTGCAGCACTATTTACAATAGGCAAGAAATGGAAGCAACCTAAGTGTCCATCAGTAGATGAATGGATAAAGAAGATGTGGTACATATACACAATGGAATATTATTCAGCCATAAGAAGAAGAAAAATCCTACCATTTGCAACAACATGGATGGAGCTAGAGGGTATTATGCTCAGTGAAATAAGCCAGGTGGAGAAAGACAAGTATCAAATGATTTCACTCATCTGTGGAGTATAAGAACAAAGAAAAACTGAAGGAATGAAACAGCAGCAGAATCACAGAATCCAAGAATGAACTAACAGTTACCAAAGGGAAAGGAACTAGGAAGGATGGGTGGGAACGGAGGTATAAGGGCAGAGAAAAAGAAAGAGGGCATTACGATTAGCATGTATAATGGGGGGGTATGGGTAGGGCTGTGGAACACAGAGAAGACAAGTAGTGATTTTACAGCATCCTACTACGCTGATGGACAGTGACTGTAATGGGGTGTGTGGGAGGGACTTGGTGAAGGGGTGAGCCTAGTAAACATAATGTTCTTCATGTAATTGTAGATTAATGATAACAAAAAAAAATACTCCTCATATAACCATGCAGGTGGGAACTTGGAATCCACTGATTTTAAGAAAAAGAGGAATACAACTTGTACCAAGTTTTAGGGACAGATCTCCATACTCCCTACATAAGGATGAATGAAGTGAGATAATACATAAAATATATTGAAAAGAAAAATCACTTCTAAAAATTAAAGTTATAAGCAATAAATTAATTAAGGAGTGATTCACTAATTGAAAAACCCAGACCATCACTGAGGGAAACGTAAAATAGTGCAGCACCTTTTGGAAAGGTCTGGCAGTTCCTCAGTTAAACCCAGAGGTACACATGACCCAGCAACTCACGCTTTGGCATATACTCAGGAAAACTGAAAACATATGACCATATAAAAACTCGTACACGGATGTTCAGAGCAGCATTATTCATAGTAGCCAAAGGTGGAAACCACCCAAATGTCCACCAACCGAATAAACAAAATGTGGTACATATCCATACAATGGCATTATCATCTGACCATAAAAAGGAATGAAATACTGATACACGCTACATATGGACAAACATCAAAAACATTATCTGAGTGAAAGAAGCCACTCCCAAAAGACTACATACTACATGAGTCCACTTATATGACATGTCCAAAACAGGCAAACTCATAGAGACAGAAAACAGACTGTGGTTGCCTAGAGTTGGAGGGAATAGGGATAATAGGGGGGTGGCAGGTAAAGAGAACATGGTTTCTTTTTGAGGTGATGAAAATGTTCTAAGATTGTGGCATAGTTGCATATATGTGTGACTATACTAAAATCACTGAATTACACACTTTAAATGGGTGAGTTGTATGGGATTTGGACTATATCTCAATAAAGTTTTTTAAAAAACCAAGAGAGACTACCTTCCAAAGAACTCCTTTAGCTGCAAACTTCCATACTACATACTATGCAAAACTTAATCATTAATCCACCTATAGTGTTATGGCCAGGAATTCTTTATTTTGAATTTATGAAGTTAAGTTTATAAATACCAAGAAAATTAAATGGTAATCATGAAAACTGATGAAAAAAAATTGCATATGAACAACCAAACTCTTTTTCAAAAAGGAATTTTAAAGGATTGTACATTTAAGAAATTTTTAATTCTATATTTAAGAAATTAAGTCTTAAGAAAGAAAGACTTTTCAGGAATATTCTAGAAGCAGTATATGGGATTTCAGCAGAGAATCTCATAAAATCCTTGTAGGTTATACAGTGGGATATCAGGGAACTGTCCACACCCAAAGGGGGCTTGATGAGGAATGATAATCTCTAGGCTGGGCACTGCAGAACTCTAACCTGTTCCAACTTCAAAAAAAAAAAGAGGACCAAAAAGAGCTCATACTCAGTCCCATGAAACAATGCTTATAAGCAGCACACATTTCACAACCAATCTCCTTCATACTGACTATATGATTTCATCATTGGAACCAATCAAATCCACCAAGCCTAGTATTGTCTTTGTTAGAAACATCAAAGCATGACTATGGGACACTGGACCATTCCCCCAGAAGCAAGCCTTGTCTGTGTCTCCCTAAACATCCTGGTTGTCTTTATTAGCAGGTCATGCATGGCTCATCATCCATCATGTTGTATAAATTCTCTCTTATATTCAGCTTATATACTCGTGAAAAGAACTTTTAAGGAATAGTTTGCCACACTGATTCATGCCCTTTGGGATGGTATATCTCTTAATATGTCATTGTTTTCTAGGGCAAAGAAGTGCTTCCATTCATTTCTTTGGTCCTTTGTCTTGGGCCTTTCTTCAGGTTCATTATGTGACCAGAATCATATAAGCTTTTCAACAGCAGACACACCCAGATTTTAGACAAGGACACATCCTTGCCTTGTTTCCAAAGCTCTCCTTAATTTTTTGGGCTACAATAGTAAACAGAAGTGTTCTCTGGAGAGGAGTGTTACTGAAAACTACTCAACATAGTGTCTTTTTATTTTTGTTTTCCCCCCAAAAAAAATCACCTTTAATTTTCCTCTAATGAAACTCAACAGCCATTGCTCCAACCTCTGAGCTTGTATTTTAACCCTTTTTCACACAAAGAAAACCTGAAGTCTATGGAAAATCCAGTCAGAGCATTTTACTCTGTCTTCTCTTGCCAGGAGTTTGAACTGAGTTGTGTTACATGCATGGAAGTCACCTATAAACATATTTGTAACAGTCTATTTATTACCTAGGACTAATCCTAATATATTTTTCTTATGTATTTTTTCCTTTTATGAAGCAGTCATTTGTCCTTCTAAAAATCTAATACACATCTTGTTCTGATAATATATATTTTAATCTATATTTGGGTAATATCTCTGTATCGAGCTAAATCATATAGTTTTCCATATTATTAAAGAGCTGGATTTCACTCCACAGGTCAAATTATCTTTCATGCCTGCTATGGACACATTTATATTACTTAAATACAGAATTTCATTTCTTAAATATAAAAACCCTTTAACAGATTGTTCTATATACTTATTTGTAGGCCTCCACCACCAATGTCCTTGCGTATGCCCATGAAGAGTAATTTCTACTTCTATGGTTCTACATTGTAATAAAAGATTCTGGTTTTTGTGTTTTAGGCAAACATTACTCCAGGCTTTAAGCTGTATCACTTTGCCCGTGCATTAACCACTCTCTGAGATTTCCAAGGCATCTGTATGGATTAGAGTTCTGAGTCTACCCTACTACTAAGAGGACTGCTTTCCTAAATTCTTATGCTTTCACTGGCCAGTTCTCTTCTTCTAACTGTATTGTCTCTAGTGCTCTAGCGCTGGTGGTTCCCTTCCACACAGGCCCAGATGACTTACACAAGGTGCTGATCTCGGATCTTGCGCAGCTGGATCAGGTCAGGTTTGATACTGTTCATTTTTTTATCTATTTCCCTGTTGTCCAAAGCTTGTTTCTTCAAATCTTGTTCCAGACGCATTTTGCTATCATGAATCTCACCCAGACGAGATTTCAATTTGTCATAATTCATCATAATTCTGTGAAAATATTCGACATAGTAAGGCTAAATAGGAACCAAGCAGAAGCATTCCAAGTATAAGCATAGTCCTACTTAGGTGTGGTGGATATCTGTTATTTTGCCTGGCTCATATCCATTCTTACTCTTCTGGTAATAGCACCTTGATGTTCCTTGGAGGCAAGGGTTCCCCCATCATGCCTATCTCAAATTCCCAGGTGAAAATCCACACAACCCCTCTTGGCCAGTAAGTATTCTATTTCATCCCATCCCTACCCTCAGACCACAGTGACTGGTTCAAGAATGGGAATAAAACTCCCAATGGGGAGTCAGTTCTAGGACTTGGGCTATAACTATTGTAAACAGAGGTTCTTTCCACTGGGATTGCCAAGGTATGAGTATGTGTTCTAGGACTCCCAGGAACGGTATTGACATCTCATAGGGAAAGCCAACACAGAGAAAAGCTGAGCCAGAAGACAGAGTATGAGCAAGAATCCTGATGACTTTGCTTGGGCCCTGATCCAGTCATGACTGAACGAGTAAAGCTATACGTATGACATTGAAGAGGTAGCACAATATAGCAGCTAAGAGCAATGGCTTTGCAGTAAACCTGCCCAAATTTTAATCTCTGCCCTGCCACTTACTGTGTGACTATGGCCAAGTTATTTAACTTCTCTGTGCCTTCATTTCCTATCTGTTTAAAATGGGTACCCACAACAGTGCCTACTTCACAGGGTTACTGTGTGACTTAAATTGTAATACATGTAAAGAACTAAACAGTACCTGGTACATCTTGGTAAACACTCAGAAAAGGATGGCTATAAGCTTTTCTAACACACAATGTTTTGCTGTGCTCTGGACCCTGAAAGCAACAACTGCCTGTCTGCAAGCCTCATGTCACTCAATGATAAGTGGTCTTACATTACTATTAAAACTACATCATGTGACTTTACCTCCCTTCACAATTAAAGTACACATTCTTTTCCATTTCTTCATTATTAATAATAATGGGTACTTACTGTTATCATATACCAGTATATGCACACACACACACACACACACACACACACACACACCTTTCTCTACTATGAATGTATGTTTGTGTATCACTTAACTCTCACAGCATTTCAAAAAGATATTACCCAGTTCATGGAGGAAAAAACAGGCTCAGAGAGTTAAATAACACAGCTAGCAAATGGTTAATACAGAATGCAAGCCCATGGTTTTAGCCATTAAGCATATTATACTGCTTCACAGCACTTAGCCCTATTCTGACACACACAGGCGTTCACTAGCACTTTTTGAGGCTAAAACAAGAAATAATTTTGCTTTTCCCTTGCATATGATTCATTTTTATTTATGACCCATTTTTTCTCTCCTTAACCCCACCGTTTTCTGGCTCAGTCTTCCAATACTACACTAACTTTGCTTTGATAAAGGCTTCCAATATCTTTTAGTTGCCAGACCCAAACTTCTCACGGTGCTTACTCTCCCTGTGTAATCTCATTCTTAGCATCTACCTATACACTTATGCCTCCCAAATCCTTTTGAACCCTGAGCTCCAAATCCAGATAACCAGCTGCCTGCCTCTCAGACAACTCCATTTGGGTTCTCACAGGAATCTCAAACTCATTGGTTCCCACACTGAACTTTCCTCACATACTTCCTATTTTGGTGAATAACACTGTAACAGGTGCTGAAGCTATTATGGAAAATAAGCCACCCATCCTTACTCTAAACAAGCTCCGAGTTTAGTGAGGAGGACATTCAGTGAATGTTACAGTAGGGATCAGGACCAGATAATGTAGGGAAGGGACAAAAAGCATCTAAACCAGCCTAGGGAATCAGAAAATATTTTCTAGAAAAAACTATGTCCAAGCTGAGTCCTATAGGATAAGTAGTAGTTAACAACTTCAGAGAATGGAGAAGGAACACAAAGGCCTTTCAGTGTGGTACCGTCACTAGGCACAGCAAGTAGTTCCACATGGTAGTGTTAGAAAGACAGACAGACATGAGCAGCCAGGGGAAAGGGAAGATAAAGGTCAAGGAAAAACTGCCCAGGTAGTGGGTCCCACGTGAAGACAACAAAGGCATTACAGGGAAATAACTTCTTTGCCTATCAAGACCAGGCCAAACTGGTCCCAACCTGATCCCAATGTGGGCGCAATCAAACAAAAACCAGGACTGCTCAAAACATGCCTCATTATGGGCAAGGACAGGTGCACTGAGAAGGATGGCTGCACAGGTGGACCAGTCAATCAAATAAGACCACTAATCAAAGAGGTGCCTCCTAGCCAGAAAGGAATAGGTAGGTCTCCCACCTAAGGGATCAAGGCCTTTGTCCACCTTGACTCTGGCCTGCTCCTCCCTCAGAGTGTGTTCGAATAAAACTTTAACTCTGCTTTGCTATTGTGTCTCTACCTTTCAACTCTGTTGCGGGGAGGATGAGAACCAAGGAGAATGAACACAACCCATAACAATAGGACTGTGAAATGTGAAGGGCAAAAGCAGACACAACAGAGATTACTGAGGAAGAAAAGAAGGCTTGTCTTCCTGATGCAGTTGGAGGTATTAGGTATATTTACCGTTCAATTTCCTTTTCATTCCCCTCTCTGCGAAATCGCTCAATATATTCTTTGCTATGCTGTTCTTGTGTGTGACACTGGTCTTCAAATATTTTAATTGTTTCATTAAAAGCTTCAATTGCAGTTCTCTTCATCTGTATTTCCTACAGGAGAGAAAAAGAAAAGATATCACTTCATTATCTTTTTTTGTAACCTTGGTCTTAAAACAAATCTTTTAATTCTAGTTACAATTCCATAAAAGACCAAATTAAGAGAGCTAAAACAAAGCCCTTTATTTAATTCCTACCCTTATTACTTATATGCAAAATACATCATTCAAGCTCTAAAATAAAAGAAAAAGAACTTTTACCTGAAATACACCCGAGAACCATAAAAAAGCCTCTGAGTTGCTGAGAGAGATTAACCCTGACCACCTTAAAGAAAAGGACAAGGTCTGCTTTTGCAGTCATTTTAAGTGCTAACCCCAAAACGTGCTAAAAGAGTGAACACATCAGAGGAGTCCATGCACCAATGTGCAAAGCCTTATTCCCGGAAAAGCCCTATAGAGTTGATTTATTCTTGCTTTCATTCCTAAAGCATCTAGTCTCCCAACAGATCATCAGCAGATTAATCTCATTAGATGCAGGAAATGAAAAGGGGAAGAACAGATGCTAAAATCAGACGCAGAATAAGATGAAAAACTAAAACCTCCGTAAAACAAAAGCCCAGTAGACTAAGCCATTCAGCACTAGGACACAAAGATCCATACATTTTGATAAACTGAGGGTCTTTGTAGACTTTAGCATCTGAATCACGATTCTCCTAAAATCCTCAAAGAGGGTTAAATTTTGTTCAGTTTATTTCAGAAAGCTAAGAAATATGTGTAAAGTTCTAGAAAGATTATATCCTGAATGATCACAATTTTAAAAGTTTTGGTGCTTCTGGTGCAATTCCTCAACTTATCCAGCATTGATTAATTTCAACAAATGATTACTGAGACTCCACTATATGGAAAGTACCATCTGGTGACAGAGAGATTCATAAAAAATTCTTATCAAAGATATTCTGTGCACATATAAAAATATATTACCCTCCACACTCTTTCTTTAACCACAAATGACAGTATACCACATACATTTGTCTGCATCGTGATTTTTTTAATATATCTTAGGAATCACTCAAAGTCAGCAAACCTCTCTCATTATTTTTTGATGGTTTTAGAATAATTTCATTTTATTGTGTTTTTAAAAAATATCATTTTTGTTATAATATACACATACTGTTATTTCCTTCTTCATACTTTAACTGTATTTTTCCCAAAGCCCTTGAATTCCATCACCCAAAACATTCCAGCATATTTTCATAAAAGTCCTCCCTTTAGACGAGTGGGTCATACCTAGTTGAAATCACACTGTACACACAATTCTACATGCCCACTTCTTTACCTACATCACAAGCATTTCTTAGGTTATCAGGAATTCCTAAGAAGCACTTAAAAATAGCAGTTGGGGACTTTTACTTTGAATGCTACAATTCATACATATTTCAGCAATAATTAATACTGAAATTTAACACCCATATTTACATTATTTTTATATTTTTTAAAAATCAAAGACTTTATTTTAACATAGACACTGAGAAGTGACTGGTGGTTATCAGGAGGGGAGGGGTTGAGGTTGGTGCAGGGGAGGTTGAGGGGGATAAAGGGGCACAAAAATTCTTAGTCATAATATAAGTTGGTCACAGGGATGACAGCACAGAGAATACAGCCAATGATTCTGTAACATCTTCCTATGTTGACAGATAGTAGTTGCACTAGTTGGGGTGAGGATTTAATGATATAGGTAAATATTGAACCACTGTATTGTATACTTGAAACCAATACAAGATTGTACATCAATGATACTTTTAAAAAATCAAAGAGTTTAAAAGTAATTTCTGAAAAACCATTTTAATAGTTGTATGGCAGTCTATTATATGTATGATAATTTCACCATCCCCTATGGTGACCACTTATCGCAATTCAATCTGAAGAAGTCCAGTAACTTTTTGCCCTTTCTACCCTAAACACTGGACTCATCAAAGATAAACCATCAGGAAGAGCAAAAGGAATAGAGAAGTTTTCATTGTAAAAGTAGTATACACACACAGATACACCACAGACACAGCACAGATCAGGCAGAAAGAAAAAAAAAGTTATTAAAGTCATTTTGAATAACTAGTTAACTAATAAAAGAAAGCCTGAAAATGAAATGGAATCAAATATCTCCCATCAGAAAATGGACTGTTACAGCATATCTGGCCACTTTAATCCCACACCTTTTCCCAATCAGTACTATATCTCACTGGCCAATATACCCAAATAAGCCCCACCACTCCTGAGGTTCCTGGGGCAATTTCTACCTTTACACTGCCCACAGGCATTAGTTTGGAAATAACATCAAGGACTTTGAGGCTGGGAAAATCAAGAACATAAATACTAGGGTCAAAACAAGGAATCATGAGTTACAGTATACTAGAATAGGTCATTGCTGACTAACCCTTCCACAGCTAACAAACATAAACTATAGACAAAAATATAAAAAACAAGTATTTCATATTACAGTCAGATTGTCAAAAGACAAAGAGAGAATCAGCAAGAGAGAAGAAATTTGTCATGTAACTGATTTTCCCTCAGAAACCATAGAGGCCAGAAGGCAGTGGGAGGCATATTTAAAGCCCTGAGAGGGAGAAAAATTATCAACCAAGAATTCTATATCTAGCAGGATTATCCTCCAATCATGAAGGAGAAATTAAGATATTCCTAGAAAAAACAAAGCTGAAGGAGTTCACTATCCCTAAAACAGCCCTATAAGAAATGTTAAACAGACTCCTTTGGGTGAAATGAAAGGATACTAGACAGTAACTCAAAGTCACATGAAGAAATGGCTCTGGTAAAAGCAACTGCATAAGTAAATATAAAAGCCAGTATTATTTTATTTTTGGTTTGTAACTTTCTTCTTTTCTGTATGATTTAAAGGACAAATGCAAAAAACTAGTTATAAATCTATGTTAATGGACAATCAGTGTATACAAATGTAACTAGTGACATAGGTATTTAGAAGCACAGTGTTTATATGCCATTGAAAAGTTACCAAATAATAAGCTGGCATTATTCAAATTAGGTTATGTGGTTGAGACATTAATTGTAATCTCTGAGTACCCACTAAGTAAAACTAAAAAAATACACAGAAAAAGAAAGAACTGGGGCATCAAAAAGGTACACTACAAAAAAATCAATTAAATACAAAAAAAGCCAATAATGGAAGAACTGAAGAACAAAAACAGTAAGACACACAGAAAACTAATAGCTAAATGGGAAAAATCAGTCCTTCCTTATAGGTGATCACTAATTATTTCAAATGTAACTGGATTAGACTTTCCAACTAAAAAGGCAGAGACTGGCAGATGGATTTCTTTTTTAAAAGCCATGATCCAGCCATGTGCTGCCTGCAAGAGACTTGCCTCATATGCAGACACAAGAGGTTAAAAGCAAAAAGATGGAAAGTAATATTCCATCCAAACAGGAAACTAAAGAGAGCTATGGTTGTTATAATATCAAACAATACAGATTTTAAGTCAAAAGAGGTTACAAGAGGCAAAGAAGGGCATTACATATTGATAAAGGTTCAATATATCAAGAAGATAAAACAATTATGAGCAAATATGTGGAGGACTTCTGGTTTCCAGTTCTGTTTGTAAGGAGCTTGAAGTCACCACTCCATCCAAAAAACAAGTACAAAGCTGAAAAGACTAAAAAGCAACAACTCTTCTAGGATCTGTAACAAAGGTGAGGACAAACTTCCTCCTCCAATTCCCACAACTGGAGAGGCAGACAGGCATATACATGACTTACCAGAGCAGAGACTCACACAAGCAGAAACTGCTACAGGAACCAATACCAGGGTAGGAAGACTTGAACTGTAATGGACAAAATTTCTGGAGGCTCAGTGTAGACAACTCACACAGTTAAAAGTTCCAGGGGAACCCAGTCAGAGGTGGTTGTTCCCAAAATTTTGTGAGATTTTCCTCTAGTAGCTCAACCAGGGCTTTCATAGTAAATACTGGAGAAAAATCCCCTTGTGCTTCCAGCAGGGAGGAGGAAAAAGAAACCACTTTGAAATAAAACAGAGCACTCTATTCTTAACAAGGCCTGACGTCAGGAGAAACTAGGTAATAAGAGTGTGGCCTCCTGTGGTATTATCAGAGCCTAAATGAGTTGGGGGAGGGAAATAACTCAACTCCACCCAGCTCTAGCCATCCTCTCCCACTTAATGGTGGGGAAAAAAGGTCTGAGAAACACTTGTGAAGTTCATAGTCCAGAGGCATAGGCTCACTAAAGACTGAGACCTATGACTGACTAGATGCTATAAAGACCTAGTCAGTGTTATAGAATATGTCCCCTCCCCTGTACCTCACCACCACACTACTAAAGGTCTATTTACAGCATTTCCTTTTACCCAGTACATATTTTCCAGCTATTAAGAAAAATTACAAAGCATACCAAAAGCCAAAATACAAAATTTGAAGAGACAAATCAAGCATCAGAAACAGACATGGTAGGGATGTTGGAATTATCAGACTGGGAATTTAAAATAACTAAGATTAATGTGCTAAGGACTCCAATGAATAAAGCAGACCACATGCAAGAATCGACAGGCAATGCATGAAGAGAGGTGGAAACACTAACTGGACATAGCCGAGGAAAGAATCCCTGAGCATGAGGATGTCTCAACAGAAACCTCCAAAACTGAAAGCAAAGAGAACAAAGGCTGAAAAAAAAAAACACAGAATATCCAAGTACCTGGGGACAACTACAAAAGGCGTAACATACATGCAATGGGAATAGCAGAAGAAGAAGAAAAAGAGAAACATATTATGTGCTCAACAACACAGTACCAAAATATATGAAGCAAACATTCACAGAATTGAAGGGAGACTATACGATGCAACAGTTTTACAGTAATAGTTGGAGAATTCAATACCCCACATTTAATAATGAATAGAACCAGTAGACACAAGATGAATAAAGAAATAGAGGACTTGCGCAAATCTATAAACCAATTTGACATAAAGGACATATACAGAATACTCTATGCCTCTGCAGAATACATGTTCTTTTCAC